ACAGCAGAGCTGCAGCGGATGTCTGTCTCCAAAACTTGTCGGAAAATGGGAGTTGCTAGTAAATTGCTTGAAGAACTTCTGAAACATTCCAGGGAGGAGGGTCTTGAGAAAATTGTTTTGTCAACTTCAAGTGCACAAAGACCTGCCATTAGACTCTATAGGAAGTTTGGTTTCAAGCTCATAGAAGGGAAACCTTTGATTCCCAACTTCATCTTTAAAGATCTGGTGAAGATGTCTTTTGAACTTGAACTCTGAAGTCCAAACACCAGTTTGTAAAACTGTAGATTGTAAGTTAAATTACGCCTACATGTTAAATTCCTCCACTCAAGGCTATTTTGCGAAGTTGTAATTTGGATGGTTTTTGAGGTTATAAGAAAAAACATTGAAGTTTACATGGGTCAAAGTTTATGTATAATTGTAACCATTCCAACTTTTTTCTATCGGCCTGTCAACTTTCCTCCATATCCTTGCACCAACATGGCTCTTAGCTAAGCTGGCCTACTTCATTCATTCAATGATATAGGGTTAAATTAGAATCAAAAGTTAATGCTTTAACACCCAGAAGTGACCAGAATCCAAATTCTCCTGAATCACCCATTAAGGTCACACCTCCTCCCAGTTTGTGTTATGTGGGAGGTCGAGGGTTCGAGCCCCAGCTGGACCAATACTCATGGTCTTAAAATAACTGAGGAGAATTTGCTACATTTCTATAATATCAAGCAGTGGATAGATATTCTAGTCTTCTCAGATAAGGACAAAAACTGTAAGCCTCATCTCCTGCTGGGTTAGGGATGGGACTGTATTTTCAAAAAAGAACACAGAAAACTTTAGTTGAGGTAGGTGGATATGGTGTTGCAAATGGAAGAATCTATGGAAAAAAGATAGATGCATAACAAGATCAGAATACAATATACTCTGAAGTAACATTACATTAAAACTGCTCATAATTATTAACCCAATAAGATTCACAATTTGACCTGTCGGTTTTATTCAACAGAAATTTCGATAGACAGAAGTGTCAGCATAATAGATTTCAGGAACAGAAATCAGAGACAGAACTTAAACACAACAGAGTTCAATGTACAGGCAAGCACATGATGGTATCATATGATTTAAAGTACCAGAATCTTTTAAGTTTTCTTATTATTGGTATTGTTATTTGATGCCATATGATGAAAAGGTGAACTTGACATCACTGATGTAAATGGTCAACTTGACATTCCATCAAATTTTGTCCTTCAGCTGAAATCTTACTCAGGAATGCAATTTTGTTAGTGTCTATCAATATACCTAAAAAATTTAAGCTTTTGTTTATTTCGGTCAGGTACTATGTGTATCAATCAGCACAACCTCCTTTCTGTAAATCTGATTGGTTCTTAATCTATTGTGATCTATTCTTGCTGAGCCTACCAGTGGTTTACATTTGTACTTCAGTAATTACTTTTGCACTAGCGATACATGAAAAAGACACCTAGCTGTTTTCAGCCAATCAAGAGGGTAATTTATCATGTATATCAGTATATTGTGATGAATTGAACAAAACCAAACAATTAACTGAAGAGGAGTTGTAGTCTACCAAATAAAGGCCTAAATACACATGTATTGTTTCCAAGTTTAAATATCAATAATGCTCATCTGAACCAGTATGAAGAGAATTTAGAAGACTGCCAAGCTTACAAGAAAGTCAAGAAATGTTAAAGTCTGAATAATTCAGGACATTAGTTGGAAAAATAAAAATAATAATCACATTTCAGTTGTAACATTAAACTACTGGGCTCCTATAAGCAGTGGAATATAAGCATTGTAGAAAATCATTTCTGAAAGCCAAAACATTGCATCATTCCACATTTTGTGTTATCCAAAAACTTGTTTCAATACTGGCAAGTAAAATGGGTTTTGCTAAAAGAAGGCCCGCGGCCCGCGACGGCCCAACGGCCTGGGAGGCCGACGGCCAAGCGGCTCGCAACGGCCTGCGACCCGGACGCTCGGTGGCCCAGTCCTGATTTTCCACAGTTTTTTGTCCGGCTGTAAATCCACGCGCATGCACAGATCTGTATCGGGTTTGGGCGTGCAGAAAGGACGACAGTGAGTTTGAATTCGTTTACCTTTTAATCATTTGAATCCATGTTTCTGTTTGTTGCATGTTGTTCAGATAAAAACCATTTGATTTTCTGTTCATTAATCTCTCTACAGAAACCGATAGCACAATAGAGGGCTTTCATTATCGAACGATGAAAGTTATTTGCAAACCATACTTTGAAAGTGAAAATATCATAAGTAGTGCGATCTGTGAACTGCGAATCTTTTCTATACAGAGACATGTCGATCTATTTACAGGAACTCCACCCCAATAGGAAAGCGTGTTCTCAAACATTGCTTTCCGGCGATTTGAGTACCGCATTTATTCCAATACGATAAGCGCCCAGGGCGCTTATTAAATTTTTGATCCTCAAGGGCGGTGGGCCCTTATTCGAGGCTGGGCACTTCTTAAATTTGCACCATTTTTAGCAGGTAGCAGAATTTTAACTGTTCATTGAAATATTTGTAAATTACTAAGGAAACTCTGTGTTTGGGTAAGTCTCTTAGTGGTACTTACTCCATTTCAATCTCACTGTGACTAAGATCAACAAACAAACTCTGCTTCTCAGTCGGGCGACCGATCGATTTGCCGACGTTACGCTGTCGGACATCGAGGAGGGAGGTCCTTCTTCGAGGTTGGGCGAAGAAATACGGCACATTATATCGGGCGTAAAAGGATTACTTTTCGATCACAGCGAAAAGTGAAAAATTAAACCCCGCCATCAAAAACTTCAACTTTGTTGTTTGTGTTGTGTTTCAATTTTAACCCTGGTTCATATTTTCTTTTCCTTTGTTGTTATGATACTTTCACTAATGAACAGAGAATGAAAACGTTTTTATGTGAACAACATGCAACAAACATAAAACAAGGATTCAAATGATTAAATGGTAAAACGAATTCAAACTCACTGTCGTCCATTTTGCACGCCCAAATCCGATGCAGATTTCTGCATGCGTGTGGATTTACTGCTGGACAAAAAACTGTGCGTGGAAAATCAGGACTGGGCCTCTGGGTCGTAGGCCGTTGCGGGCCGCTGGGCCTTCGGGCTGCCAGGCCGCAGGGCCGTCGTGGGAGGCGGGCCGCGGGCCGTGGGCCGCGGGCCTGCTTTTAGTAAAACCCAAGTAAAATGCATACAAATAGAACATCATAAGCATTCAACTCCAACAATGATCGATAAAACGTGATGAGATATCCTTTGTTTTTACGAAATTGTCCTAAAAGCCAATCCTTGACCGGTATTTTACAATCGAGATTCCCATACTTATATTTGTCGTTTTGAAATATGCCTCCGTGAATTCTCAACAGTGCAAGGAGAATGCAACTACAATACAACTTATTTCACTTTATGGCACTTCCAGGAGGCTTCAGACAGTTCCAAACACTTTCAAACTCTTTCAGAGATCAGTGGTGCAACCCGCAACGATAGACCAAACCGATAGTTGTTGGCTTGCGAGAGTGCAATGACTCCTTTTAGTGTTGTACAACTCTTACCGAAGATCACCTTCACTTCACCTATCTTCTTCATGCCATGTGGCACATAAGGCCTCGACACAATCCCGCCAACCAGCTATGACAGCAGCTGCAATTTGTACCTCACTCCAGTTCTTCCATCCAGCTTTTTCCCTTTCTCTCTCTGCTGTCTTTCTCCATGTTGTCTTTGGTCTGCCCCGTTTTCGCCGCCCCTCTTGGGTCCAGGTTAATGCAGTTCTGCAGTCATTATTTGGTTCTTTCCTCGTGATGTGGTCGATAAATTTCCATGGTCTCCTTCGCACATCCTCATTGAGGTTCTCCCCCCGGAGGGGACTCCCATATGAAACAGACGGGGATGCTCGTCGGAAATTTTGAATTTAACCCCTAAAGGAGACCATCTGGGCGTGGCTCAAGCTTTTTGTGACCCCCAAAGGAGACCAATCTGGGCGTGGCTTCAGCAAATTTTGACCCCTAAAAGAGACCGCTTAAAAACACACAAATACGACATGAAATGAGTTTTAATGATATAAAGACATACAGTGGAACTTGGTTAATACGGACACCAAGGGGACATGCCATAGTGTTCGTATTATCCGGGTGTCCGTATTAAGCGGGCTCTCAGAGAAAACGTCAGGAACACGTGTTTTATCGATGTATAAAGACCAAATCAGACAGTTTTTTGAGAAAACGTTTCATTTCTTAACTATAACAGTAACAAGCTCATCCTAAAGAAACTTCATGATCGTTTATCATAGTCTCAGAGTAAGATCGTTCAAGTTTTGAAACAGGCGTGACAGTGGATTCATTTGAAAAAGTCTGTGACTTCACTTTGTAATGACGCTTTTAGTTTGAGACTCAGCCAAGTGGACTGAATATTAGACGGAACCTTTGAAAGGTCATTCGCCGTTTCTGATAGGTTCTCACTGGTAAGATATTCAGTCACTTTCTCCAGGATTATCATAGCTTCTTTCAGTGATTTGACTCTAGGCTTCTTTGACGCAGCATTGACCTCAATAATATCCTCATCACTTTCGTAATAGACTGGAGAAAAATTCCTCCTCCCAGTTAGCGGTCTTCTAGGCGCACGTTGGCAGAGTAGAATCTGCTTTTAAGGCTTCACCTGCTGAAGGTACATCTGTGCCAGATGCGCAACTTGTATCGCGCAACAATGAATTCACCTGCACCAATTCACTATCTTCTAGTTCCTGGAATGGATCAGACTCTTGGTGTTCCTCAGGAAATGAAGCTAGAGATTCGTCTTCCGAAAGAAAACCAACCTTTATAAAGCATTTCTTAATAGTTGATTCTGACACGTTTTCCCAGGCCTGGGAAATCCATCTAATGGCTTGGAGTAAATCCACAGACTTGGACATCTCAGTGGCAGAGTTGCAGTCATCTATTTTGCTGACGACATGTGTCAGCATCAGTTTCATGTATTTTAGCTTGAATGTTTGAATTATTCCAAGATCAAGAGGCTGGAGTCTGGATGTACAATTTGGTGGGAAAAACACAATCTTGATGTGATCGTATTTGCCTTTCATATCTGGAGGATGGTAAGGGGTTTTGTCGAGAAATAAAATAACATTCCTTCGCTCTCGTGCTAATTTCCGGTTAAGCCTGGGTAGCACGTCATCTAGGATATTAAAACCCATCCAGGCTTTAGGCTGACTGAAGTATGAGAAGGGCAGTTGAGACGTATCCCTGATTGTTCTGAAGCGACGCGGATTTTTTACTTGCCGGTAGCAATCAGTTTTTCTCTACCGCCCGCTGGATTAACAAAAAATGCGCACATTATTCTTTCTTTGCATTTTTTCCATCCAGCACACTGCTTTGATACCTCGGCTAGAGATCTGTTTGGAAGTGCTCGAAAAAACTGACCCGTCTCGTCCATGTTGAAGATGTTCTCTGGGGAGTAGCTGCTCAAGATATTCGGCCAAGCGCTCTTGCCAAGATGTCACAGTTTCCTCCCTAACACCTCCTGCCTCACCACTTATGACTTTGCTTTTAATGTTAAACCTTTTCTTGAATCTGTGAAGCCATCCATTAGACGCTGTGAATTCTGAGTCTCGAAGCTCTTCACTCGCTCGTTTGGCTTTTTTTCTGGCAACATTGGTCCGGTCAATAGAATGTTCTTGATTCTTGCCTTTTGGTACCATTCATACGTTGCCTCGTCAATATTTTGCGTTTGCGATGCTCTTGCTTGTTTAGAGAGTGCATTCTTGTTTGCGCTGTAGTCGTCTAACATTTCAGTTCTCTTGACTAAAATGGACTGAATCTGCGATTTGCCACAATCAAACTCCTCAGCAACTGCTCGCACGCTAGCATTTGGGTTTTCCTTTTAGTACTCAATGACCAGAACCTTTTCAGAAACAGTAAAATATTTTCTTTGCGCTTAGCTGAAGGACCTGAAGCCATGATGCGATGGTTGTGACAACACGTTACCTGGTACACATTGACTTCTGAAGACTGACAAGCTGTCACATAACGCAGGCCGCAACTATACTTCTCACCTCACACTACAGAGATCTGCACATTATGTAGTGTGTCAACTAAGACTGAGAGTCCCGAAAAGTATGAGTGACAACCGAATTCTGAAAATTTCTTCCTGGATAAGAGGATTTCATGTTTACAAGAACTGGTGGAGTCCTGCCTTCGGTGCAATTTTACCTTTGCAACCAGAGCCGGAAAATCCCGAGGACAAAAACGCAGTCGCCGTGTTAAAAGAAAGTCGAGTTACAGGCCACGATCTATTTCATCTTGCGAATACCAAAAACTGCCTACCAACCAAGGATCGGTAAAAGTATGTGGAAAGGCAGTCAATCGGGGGTGAGGTCTTGGTATGGAAATACCATGTGTTTACATTTTTGATGGTCCTCGGAAACACGTAGATTTACTTGAACAATTCAGTGCTAGACGTTAGCAACAACCCAGCAATACGAGCGGAGGATGATCATGGTACAGCTCGCAGCTAGCAAGGAAACAACGTCAAAGAGGAAGAAGGTGAAGAGCAATGACTGCAACAAAGAGCCAAGGAAGTGAAACGTTTGTAACAGGAGGCAAAAAACTTTATTAAAGGACTACGCAGTACAAGAGTCAAACACCAGAAGAAAGAGAGACTGTTTGAAATCAAATATTTCACGCTACTTCGTTACTGTTTTGAGTGCAGAACTGTAATAAACTTTTATTCACCTGTAAACATCTGTCATTATTTGAACAGGGTTCAATGTCTACAATTATCACATAATTGTGACAATGAAAATAGACAGTGTGCAGATAAACCAGTGTTCATAAAGCGGGGTTGACAATATATGAGAGTTTGACTCGGGACACAGAAAGGTGTCCGTTGTCTGTATTATCCGGTGTCCGTATAAAGCGGGTTAATTTTAGAGAAAATAGATGAGTTTTTTGTCGGGACAAACGAAACTGTCCGTATAAAGCGGGTGTCCGTATTAAGCGGGTGTCTGTAGAGCGGGGGTTCCACTGAAATCATCGAATGCTTTTATCTAAAAGTAGTTTTTAAAAGCATAGTCGCGGTCATCAATCTCAAGTTCTTGGAAAATTGCGAGAAGGTCAGGAACGGAAGGTATCAAATGTAGATGCACAATAACTTCTATTAGTGCGCATGCTAATGTGAGGGAGGCGCTTTCTAATTATTGAAAGATTGGTTCGCAGAAAGAGCGTTCAAAGTAAACCCAACACTAGGCGCCTCCTAGGCTTTTCGAGGACGGAATAAATTGTTTTCTAATGCATTCATCTACTTCATCCAGATCTCTAATCGAATCTTGTATCATCTTTTTCATATTTATTTCACTCATATATTTATACATTAAGGTAATGTGAAGGTGTAGTCTGATCGTCCGGGTAAGTGTAGTCCTGAGAAGGACTGTTGTCGGTGGCAGTGACTGACGTTTCAACAACCTGTGCGCT